GCCGCGTGCTGCGTCCCCACAGCGACCGGGACCTCCGCAGGTCTTCGCGGAAATTGTAATAAATACCGTAAAAAATATTTAATTAAAATGGGGGGGGGTGTCTGTTTTTCAGTGGATGGCAACTGGTCAGAGTGGGGGCTATGGGAAGAGTGTTCGAAGAGCTGCGGCCAAGGTAACAGGACCAGAACCAGAACCTGCAGCAGCCCCCCCGCCCAGCACGGTGGGAAGCCCTGCCATGGCAGGGCTGTGGATTCAGTCATGTGTAACATCAGGCCCTGCCCAGGTAAGGGAAGAGTGCTCTAAAATTAGTTGCACAGGGGGTTTCCCATATGGGTTTCTTTTTCCCTCCAAACCCAGATTCTCTCAGCTTGTTTCCAATTACTCGATTCTAAAAAAAATTAAGCTCCTAATTTTTTTCTTTTCCAATTGCTTGTAATTCATTGAATGGCACTAGTTCTTGGAAACTGAAGTCACAAAAGTAAGTGCAAGGAATATTCTTAGCAATTTCTTTTTTTTTTTCCCCACCATAAAAATTTTAATTATGCGTTTTGATGTTTTCCAGTACTTGCTATCCATTTTCTCACAGAGTAAAACTCACTACTCTAAACCTATTCTGCAAAGCCAATTAAAATGAAAAAAACAAACAAACTAACAAACCACCAACTATTAAAAAAAAACATGTAAAACATGACAGTTAATAATTTAAAATATTATCCATTTATTTTCCTCTGTTGTTTTAATTTTCAGCCATGTCTTTTTCCTGACTAGATGAACACTCAAGTTTCTTTCCTGTCTTGGTAGTAATTCCCACACGACAGGTTGTAGTTTATTCATAACCCTTCACCACTGGCATGTTTCCTTCTATAAAAATTGTATTATATTGATTTTTGTACTGATTTTTCCATTTTTCCCTGGCTCTGCTACCACCACAGTGCCAAATGTTCATCCACCAGCCTGAGGTTCATTTCTCTACATCTTGGCAACAAAATCAATTGTGGCTCCTGCTTATGGGTAGCCACTGAAGGAAGGGTTGTGCCAGTTTTTAGGTAACCTGCCTCCTCCCAGCGGAGACCTCCAGCCTGGCACAGGGCAGTCAGGGCCAGGAAACTTAGGAGAATGCCAGATTTGATCAAGCATTCAGTTCTTCTGTTCCAAGGTTTTAGTGAGGTGAAGTGCTGTGTTCAGAAAGGGGAATTCATCTCTCGTGTGGAAACTGTTGATCTTTTCCAGCTGTTGCTCAAGGCAGAGGTTTTTCCAAGGGCTTATTCAGGATATTTCATTTATGGATATTAAACAAGGAAGCTGTTTTGCCTTGGGCTGTGGAGCTGTAATTTCAAGGTAAAGCAGCTGTATAGTTTTAGCAGTTTTAAACCCTGCTGCCTTTGCAGTGGCTGGCGAGTGGAGCTCTTGGCTGCCGTGGGGCCCTTGCAGCGAGACCTGTGGGAAGGGTACTCAGACACGAGTGAGGCTCTGCAATAACCCCCCTCCCTCACACGACGGGCCGCACTGCCAGGGGTCTGATGTGCAGATGCAGGTCTGCAACAAGAGACGCTGCCCAGGTAAGATGCGTTGGACTCGTAGAGAACAAGGACATGTTAGTCATTTAAACTTTTCTTCCACATTTAAAAGAGTCCTTCATGACTGGATAGGAAAAGTCACATTTCTGAAATACAACCTCTGTATTTCATAGAATGGTTTGGGTTGGAAGGGACCTTAAAGATCATTTAGTTCCAACCCCTATGCCATGGGCAGGGACATCTCCCACTAGACCAGGTTTCTCAAAGACCCATCCAACCTGGTCTTGAAAATGTCCAATGATGGAGAGATCTGGCTGAGTGCAGGGCTAATGAAGGGAAATTTCATGAAGCAGAATGTGCAGCAGTTCAGTCTAGGCCCCTGTGGCTGCACTCTCCGTTGTGCACATGCTGAGTCCCCAGAGTAACCGTCAGCTGGGAGGAGAGAGAGCTGAGTTAAGCAGCTGAGAGCTTGAGGTTGCACATTTACCTGTCTCGATGTGCTGCTGCTAAGGGTGCTGTTGCTTACAGCTAGTTTGTGACTGATTGGCCTCTTCTCAGCCACCAGCTGCACCCATATAACAGTTTGTGTCACCAGATCTCAGGAGATGAAAGCCCCTCTACTCAACTGCTTAGACCTGGATCATGTGAGATAACTCAGTAATAACTCTTATAAGCAGCTGAGCCAGTAGATCACACATTGGTTAGGGAGGAGAAGGTGGTGGTGATTACATCTTCAGACAGTGCAGCTGCAACCAGAGAAGGTCACAGAGGTGAAGACTGTGTTTATGGGATGGCATTAGTACCAGCCCTCTGCTCAAGTGTGGTGATTTCAGGGACTGCTTTTCATGTGGTTTGACTTGCTTACAGACACCTAAAAAGGTGAAAGTGACTGAACTTGAGGACTGAGCAATCCCTGACCTGGTTCTGGTTGGGCTTGCAGGAAATTTAAAAGACCCATTAATGCCTTTCTCCAGCTTTCACTCCTTCAAATCCCTAGGTAGGAATCTCTATGTAGCTGAGATGTTCTACAGTAATGTCCTGTGGTCAGTTTTACCCTGGCATAGCACCGATTTACCTTGTTATTTCTGATGCCAGTGCCTGTAACAGTAGCGTGCTGTGCCTTTCTCTCCAGTGGATGGGAGGTGGGCCACGTGGAGCAGCTGGAGCCCCTGCAGCGTGTCCTGTGGAGGAGGCAGCAGGCAGAGAACGCGCCACTGCTCAGACCCAGCCCCGCAGTTTGGGGGGCACAAGTGTGAGGGAAACGACATCCAAATTGACTTCTGCAACAGCGATCCTTGTCCAAGTAAGTGCTTTGGGTTGGGCTGCTTCTCTGCCTGCTGGGTGGGCTTGTATGCAGGAGAGGAAGGATGCACTCCACAGAAATTAAGGTGTCTGAACGCAGGCAAGTGGCATCAGCTGCCTGGCAAGAGTGAAAGCATCTCTTCACCAGTCAGTATGACTGGGACACTTTAAACGTTCACTGTTAGAAGCAGAAACCAGCAGTAGCTGGCCCATAAGGTTGGGCTGGACTGTCAGAGGTCACGCACCTCTCCAAAGCCACAACTGCCCCATCAGAAAGTCCTGCAGAGTTCATCTCCCTGGATCCCACAGCAGTGTTCCAACCCATTCGGTTGATAACACGTGCTGCATGCTTTCCTACAGACAGCGACGTTCTGGAGCTGGTTAGTACACTCTGAGACACCACTGACTGCTGGGACAGGACAACTCGTGGATCTTTAGTTGGCTGGGGTTTTAGTCTTTATTTCAGGAAAAGAAATCAAAAAGACACTCTCCAAGAGGCATATTTTCCTAGCTTGACTGTCTGCTTTTAAGTATCTTTTATGAAGAGGAGAACAGATAACATCTGACTTACTTTTACAGTTCACGGCAACTGGGGCCCCTGGAGTAGT